ATGAGAACAAACAGTGGGGACTGATGAGGAATAGGAGCCAGGCTCTTCACAAGCATGGGAGGCGGTGGGAAGGGACGGAGATAAGAGCTGCTTTGCAGTGAACAAGACAAGAGGAGAAGAGGCATTGCCACACTCTGCCATGGCTTGGGGAGAGGTGAGCCCCTCCAGTGAGCAGGGGAGCTGGGTACCACCAGGCGCTCACACATCGCAAAGGGGCCTAAAAGGACCCTCAGCACTGAGGCTTGAACACCCACCCTGGAATTACATTTGGGGACTCAGCCGCTGGGTGGAGAGCACCCTGGCCATCTCTGTAGGCCACCACAGTAATCCCTGTCACCCCAACCATCCTCTGCCCGCCCTGGCATTATGCGGGGCATCGGTCCAGACCTTCCAAGGCATTTCTGGGTCATGGAGTGAAAGCAACCTGGAGGGTGACGTTTACAGAGAGGCTACTATGCAGAAGGAACTGTACTAGTTTCCTCCCTGATCTTGCTTATTCCCAGTCTCCAGCCGAAATCAATTCTTTTAAGATGTCTATAATGTCACACAAGTACTACTCAAACATGCACGTGCACACACACACACATAGTCCAGTGGAACTTAGTCCTGAGTTAGGGTCTAGGGGGTCCATGTGTAGGAAACTGGAGTTCTTGCTCTTGCTTGAGAAACAAGTGCCTCTCTCAGTCTGTCACACACACACACACGAGAAGAGAGACAGCTCACAAAGTAATACAAGGCCATGTGTGACCAAGGGAGCCGAGACATAACCAGGGAAGTCTTATTGAAAGAGGAGGAAGTCTCAGTGAAGAAGAGGAGTGTTTGGGTGGCCAGTGAGAGGTGACAGAGAACTTTCCAGACCCTTTTATTTTTTTTTTTAAGATTTTATTTATTTATTTGAGAGGGAGAAGCAGACTCACTGCTGAGTGGAGAACCCAGTGCAGGGCTTGATCCCAGCACCCTGAGATCGTGACCTGAGCCGAAGGCAGATGCTTAACTGACTGAGCCACCCAGGCACCCCTGGGTCCTTTTATTTCTGAGACAGCTCTGGGTCAGCTACACCGGGGCCCGGTGTGAAGCAGAGGGCTCAAGGCCCTGAGAAGGCAAGTGGTGGAGGGCCCTGAGGATCCTAGTGATGTAGGGGCTGTCCCAAGTGAAGCAGGGGCAAGTCCACGCATGGATGTCCCTAGGGTTCTGGCCAGCACTGGCTTTAGCAGCGAGGGACGACAGGGCTCAGCCCCTGCCCCCAAACCTCCATGTCGGCTCTCAGGAAGGTATAAGTGCAGCAGAGGGGAAGCTGGGGGAGGCCAGTCCCTTCCTGGTCTGGTGGCAAAACACATCAGGACCTTAATGGCCCAGGGGCCACCTCCGCAGGTGGCCCTGTTCTGGTGGGGTGCTCGTGCCAGCCTCAGGGAGCCCCTTGTGGGGTGGGAAAGAGGACACACAGACAGAATAATGGCCTTCACACAGGAGCCAGCCCAGGAGCCCCATCCAGGTTGCAAGCGGGAGGACAGGCAGGGAAAGGGGGACTTGGGACCTGGGTTAATCAGGCCCATCTTCCCAGACAGGGGAGGGAGGCCTCTGTACCCTGGCCTGCAGGGGGCGGCAGAGACCTGTGGGCACCTGTGGGAGGTAGCTGAGAAAGGGAGAACCCACCTGGGAAGCTGTGCGCCTGGAAAGGAGACTGGGAGTCAAGAAAGAGCCAGGCCCGCCTGTCTGTCAATCTGTCTGCTTGCTTGCTGGCCACAGACCTCTCTTTCCGCAAGGAGCCACGTTGGACAGACAGGTGAAGCCTTTGGACTGGCTCAATCATCGTATTTATTCTAATTGTATCGTAATCGTCCCCAAGGAGCCTGGTTCAAATGAGCTTGACATTATTAAAATTTTAATGCCCAGTTTTCATAGCTGAATGAATATTTAAAGGGTATGTCCCAGCTTAAGTTATGATGATGAAGAAATTAATGGAATGTCTTGTTTAATGCATGGATATGTGTTGATGCAAAAAGTGGTGGAGATGGGGAGGGGGAGGGGAGGCAGGACAGGCGGAAAAAGCCACCCCGCCGTACTCTGCTGCAGTGGGGACAGGGAGGACCCCCAAAAGCCCAGGGCCAGGACCCCTCGCTCCCCCTGACAGGACCCCAAGCTGGAAGCAGAAACACAGTCAGAAGAGTCAGTGATGTCCCTGAAGGACTGACACCCGATGGCTTCGGGGTACGTTCAGGGAGCTCTGCTGGACCCGGGGAGGCAGTCCTGAGTCCTCAACACCCCCATCCCTGAAGCACAACCCATAAAGGGACACAGATGACACCTCAGAAAGAGAATCAGCAAAGAGGGCACTGGAACCCCAGCCCAGGTCCTCCTGGAAAGATAATACAGTGACTGATGGGGTTGGCTGGGCAGAAGGCGACAGAGAGAGGAAAGCCACCAAGAAGCAGGCCCCAGTGTCCTTGAAGCAGGCTGTTCACCTGTAAGAGACAGCTTGGGGCCGGGTGGCCGGCACCTCCCTGAGGCTGTGGCCAAGGTCTGAGGTGCAACGTTAGAAGAAGGATGAGATGGCAGTGCCCCACCCACCATCCTACCCCTCACCCTTCCTTACCACCACTGTCTCTGCAGCCTGGCGCAGCCCCGTCTCCCCAAGACAGGCTCCCTCAGTCCACTCCCCCTCCTCGGGGCAGAAGCAAGCCTTAGTGAGGCTGCACAGGGCTGGAGTCTGGAACAGGAAGAGAGAGACACAGGCCTGGCGAGAAGATCTCCCTCCGGGCCCGAGGCATCTGTACAGAGCCTGCTCCAGCTGAGGAATCTTCCCAACTGAGCCTGACACTTTATTTCTGCTGAGAATTAAGAAAGCATCGGGCCGTATTTTATCTCTCCATCAAGACTGGCACCTCTTCGACAGCCCCGCAAAAGCTGTCTGGATGCTGACCATCCCTAGATCCTAATGAAACATGAAAAATGACCCCAGGAGCCACAGGTCCCTAGGAACCAGTTCAGTTCTGGTGCACCGGCCTGTTTGGAGCACCCTGTGGGTGCTGAGCCAGTGGCTGAGGGTAGGCGGGAAGCTGGGTGAGCCCCTGGATCCCTGCTGCCAGGAAGCCCACAAATTGGAGCCTAGCACCGAGTCATGGTGGAGGTCAGGGAGGGGTAGGGGACTGGAAATTAGGCCTAAGTCCGTGAGCCTGGGGCAGAAGATTCTCGAATGTCCATGTTCCAAGGACAGGGGCTGCTGGGGGTGAGGCGCCCCCTGAGGTGGAAGGCTCCTGCCCAGGCAGATTCCATTTGCCTTGTTGAATTTACTTTGTGTAAGTTAGGGGTGTTCCAGGAAGGAGGGACATTCTAGAAAAGGGTTGGATCCTGAGTCCCAAAAAGCACTGGACGGGAAACCAGGAGTGCCCCTCCCTCATAGCCAGAAGCCTGCTCAGCCTTCTGTGCCCTTTGCTCACGAGCTGCAAAGGAGGCTGTTTATGGGGGAGGGAGGGATTCAGGACCCCCCTCCCAAGTGAAGCCAGGAACTTCATTATGTCCTTCTTCCTTCTCCCTGTGACTGGAGCTTTTTGTAACACCAGTCTCCTCTCTGGCAGAGCTTACATACAAAGTAGCTTTTTCTCCCCAACTCCATAAGGCGTGCCAAGTGGGGACCTTGTGTGAACAACGACACTCTGACCCCATCTTAGGGGCCTGGCCCCAGGAGTCCTGTCTTGCCCCCCGCGGGCCACCTGTGTCTCATTTCCTCTGCTCCGCGCCCTGCCTCCTGCCTCCCCGTCCTTCCTCGTGGAAGCTCTGCCCTTCCCCTGGCCTTGTCTTCACCTTGCTGAGTCACGGGCACCCACGCTCCCCCACCCACTTGTCTTGACGCAGCCACAACTCACTTCGAATCCTAGACCAGAAGGCCTGAGGAAGCTTGTAACTGGCTAGTCCGGCCTCCGCAGGTCAGAGAAACCGGCAACAAAGAGTCACTTGCTACAGGATGGAAGCCGAGGGAGAGCCCTGGCTGACTCCGGCTCCTGGGCCCGCCTTGGCGTGGGGTGGCTCCCTCAGCTTCTCGTCTATGAAATGGGGGTGCCTGTCCTGCCCCGTCTGCCTGTCAGGGTTTGTTTGTATGAGAAGTGAAAATGCAGTAAGGGATAAGAGAGGTACTTGACAGGTGAAAGCGCTGGAAAAGACACGAAGTAGGATTTCATTTGCGTGATTCCTTCCATTTTTATTGTCTGAAATATCTTGGGGCCTCGGGGCTGGAGAGCCCACCCGGTGGCCTCCCCGCGGGAGCTTTAAAGACTAGCGCGGAGCTGCGATTCTTGGAGTTCAGAGACCCCTAGTGGCCTGATCCAGGCACTGACGTGGATCCCTGAGAGAGAGAGAGAGAGAGAGAGAGAGAGAGAGAGAGAGAGAGATGGGCCTCCGGGAGACGTGAGGGGTCAGCCGTGTCCTGTGTCCTCCTGGCCCCTGGATACCACGGGAGACAGTAGCTGCACCCACTCCACCTACCCCCCGAGGGGACGGCCCACTGCAGTCAGGAGCCACTGCCCTGAGCCCAGCCCCAAGTAGGAGCTGGGTGGCCAGAGCCTCAGCACCCCTGGGACCCACAGCTCACATCTGCGAGATGGCACAGGGTGGCCAGAGACCAACTCCTTTGGACAAAGCCAACTGTCTCCGGCGAACCAGGGCTTCCAGAGATGTGCTGTGAGGACACCTCAGATTCTGACGTCACAGGCGAGCCAGAGCTGCTCAAAGCTGAGAGGGGGACACCGCTGAGTCTCCAATCCGGAGAAACCCTCCTGAAACATCGGGGGCCCTGGGGACTGCATAGGCCACGGGAGACGGGTGGGGCTTTGGCGACAATGGGCACACTTGCAGCTGCGTGGGGGGCAGCGGTGGTGTGGGGGTGTCCATGTGAGTGGGTGTGGCCTGTGTGCCTCTGTACCCATGATCACCTGTGTACCTTCGGGTGTGGTGTGTGCCCCTCACCCCAGGCCTGCTCTGACGCCGTCCCCTGTGCTCTGTTGCAGATGAACCGGCCGATCCAGGTGAAGCCAGCGGACAGCGAGAGCCGAGGAGGTAGTAGCTGCCTGCGCCAGCCCCCTTCACGTGAGGGCTCACTTGTCTCTGCCCCCCTCCCCCGCCCCACCCCTCCCTTCCTCCCCCTGATGCAGCGACTCCCTGCCTTCACCTCCAGGCCCTAGGGACCCCATGGCTGGGAGCTGGGGCAGGGCTCTGGAGCTGGGGGTGACTGGTGTGGCCGAGAGTGAAGGGACGGGAGGAGGTGACTGGGGTCTGCCAGAAGGTGGTTTTCCTTCCTTCCTGTAAGTAAACAAGTAGCCTGTCCGAGGGTACTCTTCTGCTTCCTTTAGGAAACCCAAAGGATGTGCTCCCCTCCCTGTCGCCAAGGAACCCCCCCTCCCCCATGATGGAGCATGAGCCGAAGCCTGGGTGCCAGGCTGGGAGCGAGGGAGTGGATTGCGGCCCTTTTCTGGGAAGGGTCAAGCCAGAGTGGGCAAATCTGAGAAGGGCTGCCATGGGGGCTTGGGACTGCTGAGGTCGAGATCCTGGAGGTAGATTGGAGCCAGCAGGGAGATGTCTGGAAGGGGACAGGGTAGGAGGGCACAGCCACACCCCATAAGCACAGAGCCCTGCTCTGAGAGGAAGGCTCTGTCCCCCTCCACCAGCACCGGCTCCTGGCTCCCGTTGCCAAGCACCTCCATCCTGGGTTCTGGGCCTGGACAGGTCACCCCTCTCTCAGCCTAGACAGGCACTGAGCAATTTCTCTCTCCCCATCCTCCCTCCCTCCAAAAGGTGTTCTAGGAAATTAAGAGCAAAAAAGCAAAATAGGCAAAAGCTACTTGCAAATTCAGAGTCAAAGCCCTTGTCCTGAGAGAACTGTAGCGTGGCCACAGGTGGCCTGCCTGCCCCAGAGACCTGTGGTCCCTCTAGCTCAGGCTGCTGCCCTCTGGGCCCTAGCAGGACCCTGACCTGGGCACAAGGCTTCTAGGCCCTAGGGCCCTCCTGACTTGGAGCTCAAATCCCACCTTCCCCCAGAGCCCAGTTGGTATCTGGCAGCTGCCTAGAGGGGCCGCATGGCTCAGGGCACTGACATACCTCCCTATGGCCTTCTGAGAGCTTCCCACCCTGAGGACCCTGAGAGCAGAGGTGGGTCAGCTGACAGGTAGAAATGGTTCAGGTGTAAAGGGTCCAGGCAGGAAAGCCCACCTGGTTCACGCTGTTTGCTCCTTCCCCTTTCCTGGCTGTCCAGTTAACACCCAGCTCTAGGCATCCTCGCCCTGGTGGCGAGGGGAGGACTGTCCCACCTCATGCAGGACTTCTTGGTGGCATATGGCAGAGCCAGGGGCCTCCCCTAGAGAGTGTCTCCAGGAGGCAGGCCCAGCAGGCCCTGGGCCATGGGTCACCCCATCATGCAGTGACTCACCTGCAGCACCCCTTTCATGTCGCAGGGCCAGAATGCAGGGAAGAGCCCCTATCCCTGGCGGGGAGAAAGCTCTGGTATACAGGAGGGTAGCTAGAACAGTAAGCAGCACCTGAACCCAGAGAAGGGGGCCCCTGAAGTGGAGGCAGCCAGAAACCTTGGAGGAGGTGGTACCTGAATTGGCCTGGAAGGAGGGCAGTTTCCACACCTAGAGAAGAAGCCGGGGTGGCATGAAGAAGGCCCCGCAGAGGGGGGCCCCTGCCGGGGTGTAGGGGGCCCATCAGGTGCGGAGAAGACAACTCAGAGTCCAGCCAGTTTTCTCCGGGACCGGAGTGGGGTGTCAGAAACACCGTGCCCTGTGAGGCCACACGGAGCTCAAATGCAAACCCTTTTCTCCTTCACTTGCCTTGGAGGCGAGACCTCTCTGACTCCAAGCTGCTAACCTCATCGCCTTTCTCCCATATATCTCCTGCCACTGACACTTGCCCCAAACCAGATTAATCAGCTCTTTTATTCTTGCAGTGGAAAGGGGGGGAGGGAGAGCCAAACCTAAACATCTATCTATTAATTGCATATTCAATATTAAACAGTGAGATGATCCTGAGTCAGCACTATCACCAAGCTATTTAAAAAAAAAAAAGGAAAGAAAGTCAGTTTAAAATAATTTAATATCCATTAAATACTTATTCTGGTGGGAAGAGGATGGGGAAGAGGTGAACGTTAGCAGAGATGGAAGAAATAGGAACAGAGAAAGGTATGGAAGACGACTACTGAGGGAAGAAGAGCATGGTCTCAGGTGAGGGAGGCAGGGCTCTTGGACCAACCCGTGAGACATGAGACACCACAGCTGGCGGAGGTCAAAGAAGAGAGCTCGCTGTGGCCTGGAGCAGGCAGGGAGGGCTTCCTAGAAGAGGTCTGGTGTAGACCTGGAGGGAAACAGTGAGGACACAAAGTGAAAATGGGGCTCTGCACACAAGGCCCAAGGGTTGGCCTTGTCTCCATCAGATGAGGAGCCACTGATCCTGTTGGGGGGACCAAGCAGTGAGAGGGCATCCCTGCTGTCATGTGCCTGCTCAGGAAGAGAGGAGCTAGCCCCTGCTACCACCACCAAGAGCCTGGGCTCCAGTTGGGTAGGGAAGGAGCCATCTCTCTGCTAGGAGGATCCAGTTTACCCCACAGAGCTCACTAAAACAAGCTATATCTAAACGGAGTCACCCTCAAATAAGCAAACCAATTCATTAGCTAGAGAAATGAGGCAGGCTGGGGACAGAGAAGAGCCTGGTGGAGGGCACCCCCACCTGCCCTGGCCATCCCAGAGGCAAAGACCTTCCCTAGGGCATGCACCTACCCCATGAACTGGTTCATGGTCAACATCTGAATTGGGTTCCATGGCTGCAGGGGCCCCTCAGCCTCTGAGTTTCACTCTCAGTGTCTAGATGGGTGCCCACACTGTGCTGCCTTGTAGCCCTAACCTCCTCCTCATCCTCCCTAGTCTCAGCCCAGGGGAGTACTACAGCCAGAAGACAGGACAACCTGCCACCCCTCGCCCCCACTAGGGGCAAATGAGGTTCCTGTATCCAGGCATGGGTGCTCCTTTCTGGAGCTCAGGCCCCGAGAGCCCTGCCCTTAGTCAGCAAACCAGCTTGGGGCACCCCTGGGCTGAATTGGAAGAGGCTGGGGCTGGGGAGTGTGCCCACCACTCTCAAAGGGCCCAAGGAAAGGGAAGAAGTGGCTGAGGTCTGGGCTGGGTATGGCAGACATTGACCTCATCCTACCCCACCACTGCCAGACACACACACCCCATCACCAGAAACCACCCCTACCTCTTCTCAGTAACCATCGATAGGTCAGAAGATTTAGCTTAAGATTTAGGATGAGGCCCCCAAGAGCTAAACATGCTGTGTTTGGAGGAACCCTGGAACGCAGTTGCACACTTGCACCCCCCAACACCCTCCAACATGCCGTACACCCACACTGACAAGGTACCCACAGACCCAACACACTTCTGGAAAGGTGGAAAACAATCATCCCTCACCAGGGACAAGTGCCTGGGGTGTCGGGCACAGACCCAGGCCACCTGATTTTATCTCATCAACATGAATGACAGAAAAAAACAGCAACACTGAGGGGGCTGATGAGCTGGAGAGGTTACAAATCGAGATGACTCGGGAGACAGACCCAGGAAAGAAGGGATTCAGGGCTAACAGGGGCTCCTCATCCCTCGGAAGGGGGCAGATGTGGCACTGGGGAGCCTCTCCAGAGGGAATGTGAGCAAGGCTGGAAATAATCTTTTAGGGTTTACCACCATAGCCCTCATGCTCCTGTAGGACCTGGAAACCACACACACACACACACACACACACACACACACACACACACACTCCAGAGGACTGGACTCTTGACTGGAATGTGTGAGGTCCCAGCTAGGGAAGACCTCACAGCCCATGATGGGGACTGCTAAGGGTCTCCTGAGTCTCCACCCTGGCCCATTCAGAAGACAGGCCCGGGGGGAGCCTGCCGGAGGCCAGGTGATGGTGGAGGGTGGACACCCCAGGCAGGAGGGCTAAGCTCCCTGCTACAAGGTCCTCTTGTTCTGCCACTGGCTACAGGGCCTGGGGGGAGGCTCAGGAGAGATACTGGGGGTGGCCTTGAGCTCCCGCCATGAAGGGAGCCCTGGAGGGGTCACTGCAGTCAGCCACCATCTAGGGAAGCTTCTAGAGAGTGAAGGAGCTTCATTCATCCCCCCTGCCAAGTCCTTCCAAATCGCCTAAGTTGAAGGAGCCTTGTCCCTGTCCAGACCTGGGAGCCCATGTCTGTCTGTCTCCCTCCGGTCTCTGTCTGTCTGGGGTGGGAGGTGTTGCGGAGAGGAGCTGGGCAGGGCCGGGAGGCAGCGAGGGCTGGGGCAGGTGCCAGAGGAGAGGAGAGGTGTCCGAGCAGGTGCGGCCCAGCCAGCCAGGCGGTGTACCTGCGGCCCTGCGCTGCTCCCCGTTCCGTTCGGCATCTTCAGGGCCGACGCCCCCCTCACCGTGGCCGTGCTCTGTGGCAGCGGAGTCCCGCCGGGCTGGCTAATGAGGTTGGACACGATGCATGCGAATGCGGCTCCAAGGCCCTCCCCGAGGCCACGTTCCCCACCATAAAACCGGGCTGATTCGGTCCTCCCAGCCCCTCTACCATCTGGAGCCCCATCGGTTCCTGCGGCTTTTTAAATCCTATTAAGTTCCTCATTTCTCCTCCGAGCATTATTTTATTTCTAAACAGACACAGACAACGAACGTGCTAGGGGAGGCTAGGGAGCCCAGCTGAGGGGTGCGGGCAGCTCCCTGCTGCCTCCGGGTCCTGGGGCCCCAGGAGCCCCGTGGCCACACTCTGGACCTCCCCGGGGTTGGGTGCCTCCCTTCCAGACCTTTCTAGCCATTCAGTCCCATACTCTAGGTTGGCAATTTAGCGAGCGTTTAGAGGAAATAGATGTGCAGGCTGGTCCCGCTGTTTGAAAATTCAATAGAAGTTTCAATTTTCTGAATCTTAGATGGCAACGAATGTCTCCCTGACGCCAGCTTCTGGATAATCAGAAACCCCTCAGGATTCTGTTGGGAACCCTTGGCCCAGGCGGGACGGGATGCACAGAAAACTAAAGCTAGGGGTGTGGGGGGCACCAAGAATTGAAGAT